GCTCAGGGGTCCAAGATTATCTTCTGTGTCTGTGTTAATTGGTTTCCCTTTTCTTTGTTGAAGAGGGTCTGTGCAATCCTTCTGCCTCTAAATCTTTTAATTTGTAAAAGAAATTCAAATTGTGATTAATTTTAAATTTTTGTTTTACATTTGGTTTTAAGTTTGTAGAATGAACCTATAAATTCTTTTATCTGGGATTTATTGTTTGTCAGTTCCTAACCTTAAAATTTCATTTGTCTATTAATTTCTTCTTCAGCAGAATATGTAAGTTTATGATTCCAGCAATAGCACAACCTTATATAACCTTGTGTAGGTTACCACAGTTAACCATCCGAGCCTTAGGCTGTTGCTAGTATACAATGAGATTATTTATTATTTAACATGTTGTCATTTCCAGCGTGTTAGAACCTTTCAATGCCATGTACAAGCCCTGCCTTTGAGGACGTGCAATCTAGAAAAACTAATAATATACAGACCCATACATTGAGGTGTGGTATAAGAGGGGTAAGAGATGAAGATACTGGAAAATAAATTTTAAAATGCTAACTTTATAATTACAAACTATGCATACCCCATACCTGATGCCATCAAGTCTATTCTGACTCATAGCAATCCTATAGGAGAGAGTAGAACTTCCCAGAGAGTTTCCAAGGCTGTAATCTTTCCGGAAACAGACTGCCACGTCTTCCAAGGAGCAGCCGGTGGATTTTGAACCACTGATGTTTTGGTTAGCAGCTGAGTGCTTAACCACTGTGCTACCAGGGCTCCTTTCAGCTATACATAGTTCTGTATATATTTCCCAGCTTAAATAAACTAAATAGAATAAAAAGTGAATTGACCTAGTGTTAATTTTATGTATCCTTACAAAGTTGTCATGAACATTGATGAAGAAAAGTAAAATAGAGTATATTGAGAAGGCAGTAAGTCTCATTTGATAATATCTCTTTTCTTCTTCCCTTTGCAGAATATGTATGTAACTGCTCTAGGGTTGGAAGCCTGGATGTGAATCGCTGCAATCAGAGCACAGGGCAGTGTGAGTGTCAACCAGGTTATCAGGGACTCCACTGTGAAACCTGCAAGGGTGGCTTTTACCTGAATCACACTTCTGGCTCTGGGCTGTGTCTACCATGTGACTGTAGTCCAGATGGAGCCCTCAGCATACTGTGCAACAGGTAAGCAGCAGAGGGTAGAGATGAAGTTATTTTTATTTTAACAAGAAGAAAAAAAAGCTCTTGCTCTTAAGGATTAGACTAATTTAAATAAAGAAGGGTCATTTAAAAATAAAGAGGGGAACTTTAGTGGCGTGGTACCTAAGGCATCTGACTGCTAACCAGAAGGCTGGAAGTTCAAACCTACCAGCCACTCCTCGGAAGGAAGACTGGACAATTTACTTCTGTAGAGATACTACCTCGGAAACCCAAGGAGGGGTCGCTGTGAGTCACAATTGAACTTCACTGCAGTGAAGTTTTGTTTTTTTTTTTTCATTTTAAAACAACAACAGCAAAGAAAAAACCAAGCAAACTTATTGCCATCAAGTAAATTCTGACTCACAGTAATCCAGTAGAACTATCCCATAGGGTTTCCAAGGAGGGGTCACTATGAGTCAGAATCGACTCAACAGCAGTGAGTTTTAATCCTTATGCAGACTGCCACCTCTTTCTTCTGCAGAGTGGCTGGTGGGTTTGAACCACCAACCTTACGGTTAGCACCCAAGTACTTAACCACCACACCACCAGGGCTCCACAAAGAGGGGTCATAGATTTACAAAATATTCTGTATTCTTTTATTCCCTCACTTAGTATGTTATAAAGTCAAAATTAAAAAGCTTCTAATTTACTAATTCAGTTCTTCAAAAGCACCTGAGTCACCAACATTGCTTTGTGATGATTTCTCTGAATTTCACAGAAAAAAAAAATTGAGAAACCAGTTTGCTTTCTGGAAGTGCTAATTTCTAGACATTTCCAGTGGAAATTTTCTTGTTATGTTTATTAACATATCACTGGAGTTCCAGGGAACTTGTTCTTTGGTTTATTTTTTTCACTGATCAAAATTCTAGATGTGTTTCTTTGCATGGCTCAGGCATAAATTTGGTAATATTCTAATTTCTTTAATTACCAAACTAGATTAAGCAAGAGTTGTCTAGAAATTATCTTGTTGTTGTTATGTGCCATCGAGTTGGACCCAACTCATAGTGATCCTGCCTTGGGTTTCTGAGGCGGTATCACTATGGATTCCCAACCTTTCTTCCAAGGAGTGGCTGGTGGGTTTGAACCACCAGCCTTCTAGTTAGCAGTCAAGTGCCTTAAGCACTATGCTTCCAGAGCTCCTTAGAAATTATCTTAGAAGAATATATTATTTAGAGGTGACTTAGTGAAACAATGCTATGTAATCTGAGGGTTTGCTATCTAGTACACTAAATTAATTATTCTTTGACCTTGGATGAGGCATTTAGGTTTTTTGTGGAACCCAAATGTCAAAAAGCCAAAGAGTCAGGGTTATGTAATGAAAAGAATACAAGCTTTAGAGTCTATCTAACTTGGATATAAATCCAAGATCTGCTGCCACTTAGACACTTAGGCTTGGAAAAGTAATTTAATTTCTCTCCAGGTTGTTGTACATGTTGAATGGATTGATGTATGTGAATTACTCAGCACATATCACTCAATAGATTCTGGATCGCTTTTATTTCAAGGCAATATTATTGGCTTAAATGAGGGAATGTTTTGTAAATCTAGCTCCTTGGCAGAAAAGGTGCTTTATATTTAGCGATAGATACCATGAATACTTCATAAATCATATTATACTACTGTTGTTGTTATGTGCCATTGAGTTGGACCTGACTCATAGCGACCCCTCCTTGTGTTTCTGAGGCAGTATCACTGCAGAAGTAGAATGCTTAAAAAATATAGAAATATTTTTATTCTTGATTAAGGAGTTTAATTTCAAATTCAACAATAATCAATGTTTATGACGCTTGCTATTTATAAATAATTATTTGTCTTAATCCTCACAAGAGCTCCTTGTTGTTGTTGTTATGTGCTTTCGAGTCGGACCTGACTCATAGTGACCGCTCCTTGTGTTTCTGAGTGTTCTGGTTACCTAGTGCTGCTCTGACAAGAATATACCACAAATGGGATGGCCTTAACAAACAGGAGTTTATTCTATTAGTTTGGAGGCTTTAAGTCCAAGTTCAAAATGCCAGGCTCTAGGGGCTGAATGAAAGCCCCTCAACCTTGGGGTCCAGCTCTGCCTCCTGCTCCCTACCCACTGGAGCTAGAGGCTTTTTTCACTCAGACAGCTGCTGGCTGCTGAGGCTGACAAACCCAAGGTTGACAAGTAAAAAGGCACAGTCCTGGTGTTACCAAACCACATGGCCGGGCAGTAATTCATCAAGTCCATTGCAAGTCCCAGGGTTGGCAGAGCATGGCAGGCTGCTGAGCAAAAACACGGCTACATGCAGGGTTCAAGCATGCCATAAGCTAGAGACTGTTCCCAAAGCTGTTTCTTATGTAAGGGAAGTAGACCACATACCCAAAGGCAGCTACTCAGCTGCTTGTGGTAGATCCCACCATGGAATTGATTGCCAGTCTCATCATGGGGAATAACTACCACCAGCTGCCCAGCCACTCAACCAGGCCCAGCCAAGTTGACACACAAACATAACCACCACACCGAGGCAGTATCACTATGGAAGTAGATTGCCCAACCTTCCTTCTGAGGAGTGGCTGGTGGGTTTGAATTGCCAGCTTTCTGGTTAGTAGTCAAGTGCCTTAGGCACTATGCCACCAGAGCTCCCAAGAGTTCCTTGTTGTTGTTGTTACGTGCCATGGAGTCAGACCTGACTCATAGCGACCCCTCCTTGGTTTTCTGAGGCAGTATCATGATGGAAGTAGATTGCTCAAGCTTCTTTCTGGAAAGAGCTCCTTATAGGTGGGTTATTAAGTCACAAAGATAGTAAGTAGCAGAGAAAGAATTCCAAATCAGATCATCCAAACCAACCCCAGTGCCCTTACCATCTATGGTACAGTGAATTACTTGGTATGGCTTTTCTAGCCATAATCTTTGTAACTCCCACCGAATTACTGGGTGGGACCATGAAAATAAGGTATGCAGATCTCTAGTGTGAGGGTTGGTTAGTTTTGCTATGCTGCTGGGCTTAAAATGAGTCCTCCTAGAAGCAGAAAGGGGGATCTCACTGCCATCAAGAGAGAAGAGGTAGAGTGGAGTGTGTTCTTAGATGTGAGATCCTTGCTCTGGACTTCTTTGGCTGAGAGACATCTGGGTGAGAGAGATACCTGGCTGAGAGAGATGCCCAGCTGAGACGCCAGCATTGGAACCAAGAGGGAAGAGACAGAGTAGTGACCTTGCTGGCCCATGGATGGAGAAGGCTGAGTGCCCTTGGGCAGGAGTCTTGTACGTGTAGGTGTACATATTGGCAGAGCTAAAAGAGCTTTGTGACACTTGCCCAGCAGGGCAGAAGCCAGGCCAGGAGGCCCAGGGCCAGAGAGGCATGCCTTACGGCATAGCAGAGGGGATACTGTCCTGATCAAATAATTGTATCCTGAATGTGTTCCTGAACCTGAGTTGTAGCCTGTTACTTCCCTAATAAACCCCATAAATGTGAGTATTGTTTGTGAGTTCTTTATGGCCATTGCAATGAATTATCAAATGCAGCAGAGAAGTAATGAGTGCTATGGGAAGGATGGTTGGTGTCAGAGTTGGTAAAAAGGCTGGAGGGTGGTGACATGTCCGGCCTCATAGGAATAAGCCTTGGGCTGCTGATGGTGATTCTGTCTTCCCCTGGTGAAGTTAGAAGAGACGATAGAGTTTTAGAAGCAAGAGAAGAGGGAAAAACAGTAATACTAATATTTATGTAATGTTTTACTATTTTCAAAGTTTACAAATTATTTCTGATTCACCTTTTTTTCTAAGAAGTAATGCTATTAAGTGACACAGGCTCAAACACTATCCTGAAAATAGGTAGAAGCCACAAAGTAGTGGAAGTAAGTACTCTGGACAAGGAATCTCAAGACAGAAGTCTGGCAACTAAAGCACATAAACCAAATCCAGCCCACTACCTATTTTTGTAAATAAAGTCTTATTGGAACATGTTATTATTGTTGTTATATACTATCGAGTCGGATCCGACTCATAGTGACCCCTCCTTGGGTTTCCGAGGCAATATCACTACGGAAGTAGATTGCCCAACTTTCCTTCCGAGGAGTGGCTGGTGGGTTTGGAACATAGCAATACCCATTCATTTACCTATTGTCTGTGGCTGCTTTTTACTGTAGTAGCAGAGTTTACTGGTTGCAACAGAGACCTTATGGTCTGCAAGCCTTCAATATTTACTGTCTGGCCCTTTAAGAAAAAGTTTGTCAGTCTCAATATTACGGATTAAATGGTGTTCCCCAGAAATATGTATTATAAATCTAACCTCTGTGTCTGTGGTTATAATCTTGTTTGGGAATCGGTTGTTTTTGTTGTTAACAGGATTAGGGCAAAACGTGTCTTGAGTCAGTCTCTTATAAAATAAGAAAGGAGAATGAAAAGGGAGAGATGGAGAAAGAGATGCTAAGCCACATGAAGATCACCTAGGAGCTGAAGTTCAAAGAGACAGGGACCTTCATTCATAGCCGACAAAGAGAAAAAGCCTTCCTCTAGAGCTGAGGCCTTGGATTCAGACTTCTAGCCTCCTAAAGTATGAGAGAATAAATTTCTGTTTGTTAAAGCCTTCCAGTTATGGTATTTCTGTTATAGTAGCACTAGATAACTAAGACACCGAAGTTTAGGGTTTCAGTCCTCATGGGTATTGCTAGGTAACTGTAATTTTGTGCAAGTTACTTTACTTTTTCTAAGCTTCCTATTTCTCTTCTGCATAAAGTTGTTTTAATAATCAAGCAAGATTATCAAAACAGCCTGGTACTGGTATGACAATAGACAGTAGACCAATGGAATAGAATTGAGAGTCCAGGAATAAAGCCATATATCTATAGTCAGTTGATTTTTGACAGGGTGCTAAGTCTGTTCAATGGGGAAAGAAGAATATCTTCAATAAATGGTGCTGGGAAAACTGGATTTCTACATGCAGAAAAATGAAACAGGATCTGTGCCTCACACCACACACAAAAATAAATTTAAAATAGATTAAGGACCTAAATGTGCAAACTAA